CATTACTGTTATATCAATACCACCGTGATTATATTAATATTCGCCACTAATAACCAAACGTTCTACTTGAACTCGGGAACACGACCGACTGCCTGCTAAATGCAGGCATACAGAGTAATCAAATATGTTTTAGATCAGGACCACAATACAGGCTTTATGAGGCGATCATTTTAGTGATTACCGTTGGACATTAATAATCAGGCGCCGGTTGGGCGACATGGCTTGTTGCCAAAGTACATACTGCTAAATCCGCACTGGGAAGAAGTATCCGGCAATGGAATAAAGCCCCCATCGATACACCCATCATCAAGGTGCAGACGACACGCGCCTCGTCACGTGCAGCCAATAAGTTAGCGACTGCTTGAATCGTCACACCGAAGCTTGGCTGCAAATATTTTAATACTCTACCAAACGATGACCTGCTTTCGTCCGCTTCGTTCCCCTCTGATCTATTCGTCCACTGTCGAGTGTTGTATAGCATAGGTTCAAGATCCAAGATATTAAATTGTTCGCCCATCTATATTTGAATAGATAATCAAGCGAAGACTTGTAATTCTGTTTGGGCACACAGTTACAGCACACTGTTATGCTATAACCGGAACAACTATACTGAATTAGATCGCCCGCTAAGATAGTTGAACGCTTTAATTGCCATGCCATGCTATCGATATCGATAAATATGACGTTCTATTTATAGCCAGATTGTGAGACTTTTCGAACATGTTCTGTGATTGTTATTTGAGTGCAATGCGTGTTCCGGTGAGCCTTAAATAGGCTGAAGACAGCCATTGCAAACGATTCAATTATCCTGATGGTAGACGATTTTTTATGAGTGACTTTGAAATGTGGAGCCCAGTATTGAGGCATAATTTTAGAGTAAAAAACTAGCTATTTCAAATAATTTACTAACTAACTTGTTTTAGTTATAGTTTTTGATCAGGGTAATTTATCTCTGCATGATGCACTTGTCACTTGGTATCCGCTGTCGCAGATACAGTTAAGTTAATGTTTTCTTGGCTTTTGTATTGAGCTCAGGCTCAGTACGAAGATCAGTACTGAGGGCTTATACATTCACGGGTATGGGTATTTGTACTCAGGCCTGGCTTAAATAGTCTACAATGGCTTCGGACCGTTCCCACGGAGGCCTCGCTTAGTGGTGAAAGAGCTGCCATTGCTATCCATTCAAGTTCCCTACTAGTAAACACTATAGGGGTATTCTGGAATATCTCTTTTGCTAGGTGGGATCGAAAGATGTTTCTCTCCTGTGGTTTTTTTTTTTTTTTTGGTAGGCGACATTAAACTTCGTAGCTTTGGGCTTAAAAGGGTTTCTCTTCTACTTCTAAAGCCACGCTGTAATAGGTATACCTAGTTTATTTCTAAATAAAAAGGAAATGATTTCGAAGCTCTATTGGGCTTCATCTTACTACAAAATATTTTATACGTAAATGTACAATAAGCCGATAGTGATCGCGCGTAATTCGATGCAAACTATTACATAGTCTGAAATCAAATCCAGTGTCCTGTAAAGTGGTCTACGGTGGGTGGGTGGGTGGTTGTTGTTAGTTTCATTTCGTTCTCCGCCAAAGATGTTGATATGATCTTAAAAATGATTTAAAAAACATATATACATATATTTATTCTCTAATGTTTTATTATTAATTCACTCATACCGACAAACGTCCCATTGAGCTACACTGCAGAGAGTGGTTCAAAAAAGGATTTGTATTCTTTTTGTTTTGCCTGAACAAATTTATGCCGCGAGTAAAAAACACTTTGTACAAAGGGTTTTATTTTTCGTCAGTTTGAGGTGATATATACAGGTATCGATCAATCAAATAAAGACACCTGAAAATTTCGAATACTGTTGCTTTCGATCGAAGATAGCTTCGGGAAACTCACTCGACTTGAATCCGATCAAAAAAGTGTGACATTATGTCGAACGGCGGGTCGGGGCTGGACGTAGATGACGAAAATCGTTGAATACACTGCTCCACGTATGAGCCCGGGATCTAGGCGCGACGGAGATGGTGTCAAGCTACATTCGGAGCATTCGCAAATGGAAGACCAAATATTAGCCTCAGTAAGTGTCTTCCACAGCGGTTTAAAAATGGTTTTCTAACGACAGTATCGTAACATGTACTAGCACTAGAAAGCAGAGGAAGATAGATTTCATATAAAAAGAACAGGCATTTCAATTCGGATGCGGAGTTATTATATTTTCGGTCAATGTCGATCATTTGTAAAATCTCTAGATAGCCAGTGGCTGTGTGTACTAAATTGAAACACGAATGAAATTAGTTTTTTAATATTTACTTTAGTTTTTGCGTTTCTTTAGTGTTTGTTTACTTCTATGAACTATTTGAAAGCACTGTTTCTTTACTTTGAAGATTTGTAGCAATTCTGCTGTGCCATAAACGAATATTTACATCAAATAGCTTCAAATATGGAGCTTTTAGAGAAAAACGTTTCTCTATGTTAATTTGTTCCGAAGTCTAAAGTAGCCTAGGATATTTATGCCGTATACAACGAGAACCTTATAGCAAAAGGACTACTCGCACAAGTTTGCTAGGTCCAAAAATAGAATTTTAAACTTAAAGACTCCGAATTACTTCGTTCAAGTGTATCGGTTCGTAATCGATGAGGACCTCGGTGGCAAAGAATAATTAGCCCAGAAAATGAGCTGCCAACACTAGAATACCGCTATTGCATCCAGGATAGTGAAATTTTGTTGGAAAATTTGTCGAAAATCTGTTGGAAATGTGTTTTGGAGTGGGCTCTTGGCGTAAAGAGAAATGCAGTTTTTCATTGACCCCTAACGTTTCGCGCAGCCACAAACTATTAGAGGTGACGCCGATTAATATCTCTACGTTGATATGAAGCAAAGAAAGGAATGGGTGGTTCTGAAAAATATCTATCTCGCTTAACTCCATTGCGTTTGATGGACTAGAACGGCCTTATGCACTGGAAAATGCTTGAGAAAAATAGAACAACAAAGGTCTGTGTATAGCCCAATCGCGTCGACTGAACGAGCCTACCCAACAGAAAGGACCCGATAGATGAGGCAAAGTCATTCTTCTCCACCAATGCCAGGCCGCGCATAGCAAGGACTATAAAAGTCGTTCCGCAAGTGCTAGATTATGTGGTGTCTTTGCGCGCACGATATTCCTCGGACTTGGCGGCTACGGATTACCACAGCTTTCAGTCAGTGGCAAATTAATGATCGTATTAGTAACTATACATTTCTTAGTGAAAAGGGTCTCAAAAACCTGGACAAGCCTTTTAATTCCGGACCTAAGAAGGTTCTGGAGACAAGAAGTTAGTATGTTGGTCGAGGGATGCAAAAAGTTTGTCGGAATAATAAGGCATTTTGTTACTAGAATTCAGATGAAACGCTGAGTTCTTTCTTAAATGGAAAAAATGCCTTCACTTAAGTCCAGACCTCAAAGTCCTTTAAATGGCTTTGCTACTTTTGAAAATGTAATAAAAGATCATGAGGAACTTCGCAGCACAAACGTTCCTAAAGTTAATTGAGTTGTAGATTTTTGCTGAACAACGTAACACCACGTAACAACACAACGACAAATGAAAATTTGCATCATAAACATTCCGAAAACTAGAAACACAACAAGTGCTAAAAAATCCGGTTTCTTTATGGAAAAGCGCCCGGTTCAGTGTAACACATTGCTGCCAGAATGGAAACTACGCAGCTCTTGTGAAGAATGCACTGCCAAACTTATTTTAGGCTCTTCTGTACGGAAACCTTTCAAATATACGATAGCTGCTGGGTAAAAGAGTATCTTTTGAATTTTAGCGAAACTTATCTTAACCACTCTTTAGATGAATTTTTAGAAAAACTATGGGACTAGGTAACACTTTTTAAAACGACTGTATTACATATATCACTTGAAAATACTGAACCGCGATCGCTGATGTTTTCAGCCGAAACTGAGTAGATCAAGTAACTACCAGCGCCGATGGCTGCGATAAAAGCTTAACTTACAAAAGTAAAGTAATATTCTAATCTTTTCAAACATAAGGCTTTTGTTAGCATGCATTAACCAACAGCAGTAACTTATAAAGTTAAAGCCAAGATCATTTTGTGGAATTTGAGTCATCGAGGTAAACGTGGTGCTGTTAAATGAGCATCAATGGTTGCCCATATACGTTGACTAACAAACGATATCTCTAACTGTACGCCGTTTGCTAATAATATGGCAAGCTAATAGGATGTCTGAACAATGTTGAATTAGTAAACTTTTGTCATGCTGAGATATCCAGCGCAGTTCGATTCAATTGATTTCAGATGATGTATTATCAACTTAGAACTAAGAATGAAAGGTCCATTTACGGTACCCAATATACACGATCTGTGCATTGAGGAGTATTTGTCACAGTTGCATTCTAACACAGCTATCTGTATAGCCTTATTCAGTAATCTGTTGCAACTTGCTTGTTGGATGGATACTTGGCTCACGTCTTTGCTGACCTCATCAAGCCTTGCTGTCGAATGGAGCAGCAGGTATTTTCATCAATTAAGCTGCTAATGATTCTCTCGCAGTGGAGTATTGACCAACGATCGGCATTTTGCTAACCAGCTCCGGTCAAGAGCTACACATGGCTCAAGAGTGAGGTTCAAACAATAGATTACGAAAGGAGGAACTTGCGGTGATCTGAAGGAAGTTACAAAGTAATTATACAAGTAAGCACTGAATGATAGGAAGAAACTGGTCGAACAAAAACTATTGTTGATACTCAAATTTGATCTGATGCTTTGTATTTGCGTGCAGATAAGTGGCGAGAAAAGCGAGTGAATTTCGAGTGAGATAGGTTAACGCTTTTCTAATAATGGTAAAGGCGCTCGTTTCAATCAAGCTCGAATGAATTGTACAAGAAGCTATGTGTTACAAAAAATGGAAGGCATTAATTCCAATATCAATCCGTACTATAAACATGTACTTTGTATGAACCTGAGTAATTTTCTCGCTTAAACTTGCTTTCAGATTCAAAACCACTTGCACAGCGGAATCTTCCAGCGTCGTTTTTCTGCCCTTCTCAGGCTCTACCCGTTCCTCTTTCCACTCCAACACCAGTAACAGGAATTCCCAGCTGTAGCACAGCTGCCGCCGGCGGGAGCGGTGGCCCTGCTTCGTACCCACCATCACCATCATCCACATCATCCTATCCCCAATTGGCGCCACCGTCGCAATCGAGCCCGCAACTCGGAGTTTCTTCGCCGTCATCTCATCTTCAGGGGGCACATTCGCCATCACATCCAAATCACCTAGGAGGTCCATCGCCGTCACAACTGACTGCTGGAACAGGCAATGGCCCTTCTCCGTCGTATCTATCGCTTGCGCCGACATCATCAAGTCTGCCGCTTTCTTCTGAGTTCTATAGCGCGTCAGCGCCGTCAACGTCCGTCGCTTCGATGGCATCGGTTAGCGATTATGATCCATGGTCACATTACATGTCGGCAGCGAGCTATCGATGCTCAGGCCAGCTAACAAGTCATGAGCTACAGAGTTACGCGGCCGCGGCAAATCGACATCAATTCGCGCAGCATCAGGTAAATCCTCTAGAATGGATGCGCAGATCAACTAGCATTTTCAAACTAACATGAAACGACGCACCGTCTCATTCCTGTTTGGTAGCCTTAAGAGTGAATTATGAGTACCGCAAAAAGCAACAACGTTTTGATATAAAGACACAGTGCCTGCTTATGAGAATATCATTATAGAAGTTCAATACTTATGGAACATGAACGCGCACTATAGGAGTTTAGAAAGTAGGTCTCCCTATCGAACAGTACATATTTTCTCAAGTTTTTAGAAGGTTCTAAGTTGAAACAACCATCCAGTAGAGAAATTCACATCCAGTCGACACTGTGAATCGCGCCGACCAATTTCTGGCTATGGGAAACGCTGGGAAGTCCCATTGTAATTGCACTGCACACGAATGTTGCAACAGACAAATATTTTTCTACTTTGTTTTGCAGTACAACTCTTTGCTGGGGCTAGGCAGCCAGCAGTCACGTGCGACCTGTTCTGCTGCAGTGCCTGTACTCAGTGTTGGTGTTAATGAAAAGGTTATAGATTCCTGGGGTCAATCGGTAGCGCGTTATCATGAACAAATTCACAGCATGAACATGGCAAGCGTCGGTGCTGTGGCCACCCACAGCACACATCCTTCAAATGGACCCATCCACCCAGGAGCCGTAACCGAAAGCGGGCATCCTTCGGGACATCCGAGCTACCATCCAGGACACCCTGGTTATGCGCATCCTATGAGTGCGGCAATGACTGGTTAGTGTCTTCTGTTTTTTTTTTTTCAATTATTAAATAGTTAGAATATGTCGCGCATTTTTCACTAAACCACTCTGTATTGCTTACTGGCGAATTTTCAAGTACGTTTGTAGTACGCTAGTTTTTTAGAAACCAAGAATCACCCTTACATAAAGGTGACTACAGTCATTCACACCTGGCTACAAATAATCAAATAATACGCTCCGTATCAGCAAATTTAAATGAAGGCTAAAAGGCTGAGATTTTCGTTACACTTTTCTGAGTCTGATATGCACACATTTTATTTTATGCCCATTATTTAAAAATACTTACGCATCCCAGATTGTCAATTTTCCCAGTATATCTTTTTCTCACTGATTTGCGTGTTGCCTCACGTAATTTCTTCTCCATCGGGCATAGCAAGATATGTTACTACCTTCGAATCCCTGAGGCAGAGGCGGGCCTCTAAAGAGACTACTAAGCATCGACAACCGCAAAATACTACTTAACCGACTTTCACTGGCCAAATGGCCAACTAAGCGGGTCGTACGTACGTTCGCATTGACGTGCTTCCGCTCACTCTATTTTTCCTCAGCAAATAAGGTTCATTAAGATCTACCACATACTTTTCTATCGGAACACATTAGCTATCAGCGTAGCATATCAGTTTGGGTCTCCGTTTTGCGTGCACAAAAAATGTTTTTCTACGAACTTGAGGGCGTCATGGTAGCTGTCTGTATATCAGACAATGACTCTGTTATTGTGAAATATGACCAACAGCAATAAGGTGACTAAGTCAATTTTATCCATGACGTCATATGTTCGTGAGGTGCATTGAGCTGTACACACGCATATCTATATACGCACATACCAACAGCTATCGGAAGGGGCTTTCATTTTCGTTCCTCTACTGTCTACATAATATCCAGTCTATATATCATACTTGCCCCACAGTTCCCCTGTAAGCATCATCACGACCAACAACAATGGCCGTATCGTATAGGAGAGCCTTGATCTTTCGTATGATGATAAAAGGAAATAAGCAAGCTCTTGCCGTGTGGAGGAGTTCACTACACTGACTGGATATGTTGACTAGTACTACAGACCAATAACACCTATAAACAGAAGTGGCGTAGCCTGTGCTGGCCACGACGATGGCGGCTTCAGCAGCAGTGATATCGCTGGTCACCCTAAGGCCTTCGCAAAGCCTGAAGCGGCCGGTGTACTTTGGGTGGAGACGTACGACCAGGAAAAGAACTCTCACTCGCTCACTTTGGTCCTGAGAGCTGTGGACCGATAGGCTCAGTGGACCAGTCCCAGCCAATCGGTGACGAGGTTGGGCGAGGGGCCCGCCCCCGGCCATTCATACTCCTGCACAGTGCTCCGCTTGGCTCACTCCTCTCCGCCTTCTTCTGATTCACAGCAGCAGCTGGAGAGCTGGAGCACTCGCTTTCTTCCATCGCATTGCCCCCTTCCCTTTGTCGCGCTGCCAAGCCCCTTCTCATAACGATATCCCGGTTCTTTCCATATTCCCGTCTTGAACCTGGTAATGGTATCTAACTAACCCTTCGATAAAAGTCCCTGATTGGCGAAATTATGACCCCCTTCTTTTCTCAGCAACCAACGAAGCAACAAGCCCTTTCCTATATATATATATATATATATATATATATTTTACTCATGTCTACCTGATTAACAATGCCTGCGAAATGGTTGAGGCGATTACTATCGTAATGATTACCTCTCCTGGGACTTCGCCGAGAAATCAAATTGCTTACTTATATAACAACAATTCCACATGACGGTGGGCGATTCCTAAATAGGTGTGGGCTAACTAGAAGAAAACCATTATATATAGTAAGCATATTTTTCGTTTTAATAAGGTTCTGTGAATGTGTATAAACACAATATTCTAAGAAAAGATACTTGGATGTCTCGAAAAATAGAGGACAAGACAAAACAGAAAAGCCTTTTCTTTCCACCTCATGCTCAGACGATGGTGAACAGGGAAACATGCACTGATGGCGTAGAAACATCACAGTATATATCCATCGTCCTATAACCGATCCACTTTCTTCCCCTGCACGATCCCGGCTGGGCTCTCAACGGTGTGTACGGATACAGAGGGGCTACGCCAGCTACAAGGGAATAAAACTGCCATTAGGGATCAGTCCAGTGCTTCATCGATTATTGGAAGTAGTGGCTCTCTTTTCTTCGGGGTTAGGTTATCCCCGTTCGTGCGGATGGCGAGCCTCCGAGGGGTCACGGGGATGCGAAAATACTGGATTTACCAGTCCTTTTGTAGGCGCCTCAGCACTGTACTCCTCGCGCATGACTTGTGATGAGCTCAGTTGAGCATCCGAGTACAAAGTGCTTATACCACAAAATTTAGATTCGAAAGCGCTTTGAGATAACCAAAAAGGTTAGAACCAGAGTTAAAAAAGCACCGAACTCTGAAGAATAGGGGGTTTGAGAATATATATTTAATTTCATCTATTCAATATGTGCTTGTGAAGTAGAATATACTTGGCCATGTAAGACCCAGTGTTCAGTTACACAGGAAGTGCCTCCTAAGAGAACAGGCGTCCTACCCCTTAGTATTATTATTATTATGGCTTCGACAACTTCAAGTCCTTCAATCTATAGCCCCCCACCTTATAGTCGCACCGCTGCTGCTGCTCCCGCTGTTCCTGCTGCTGCCTAGCAACATCGACGCGCTGACCTCTGGTCTTCTCAGACGCCCCACTCTTTGTACACATCCCATGACATCGGAACCCATGCCGGGGGCATCAGCGCGGCGTTCGACAACCACAAGCGTAGCCATTACTTCGTGTGACCTCTTTGGTTTTCTGTGCGATGGGGAGAAGGGCGGCGGCTCAACGGAGGCTTTAGCGAGTGCTGCGCGATCATGCAATTGTCTGTCTCATTGAAACAACAATTCAAAGGCAGAAGGTAAGGGGTTCCTTTGATCCTTTAAACAACGCACGGCTACGTTGGTAGATGGTTGGTGAACGGGTTGCTTGCCTCGGCGCAATCTTTTCCACGCGAACTCACCTTAATTGAAGTCGCTCTTCTCTTCGACCTGATTCGATGCTGTGCTACCTCGGCTTGTGCCTCCTCGTCTTCCACGGTCTTTTAGCACACCGGATCGGATAGCCGATCTATCCGCGCTTTGCGTTCTGCCTCACTCGATACGAGCGCCACCGTCGACCACTATCTTCAAAAGGGGTGCGAATCATTGAGAAAACGGCAGGCCTTTGCAGTTGCCCCTTTTTGAGAGCTTTCGGCCTACACATACAGAGTGATTTAATAGTTGCTACGGAGATTGGGTATGACGGTAGGCACACAATCGTGTATTGCAAACCTTAGTTACAATATGTCAACTTACAATCCATCTGCGTCACGAGTTCTATGTTATTTCATTTTTAGCGCTCTGCTGGTAAAGGAATACCGCGAAGAAGTAAGACTGCTAACATTAGATATTAGCAAGAAAATAAACACAGATAATAAACACCCTGGGGGGCGGCACAGGCCTAAAGTGGTCATTTACTACTTCAGAGCTGGACTCCACGTACTGGCAGAAATTAGAATTCTGTGACGGCGTTGTTCGCAGTACTTAACAAGTAATTAACATTTCAATGAAGCTAGCAGTTGGCAAGGGATACGTTCTGTGTAACAAATATGTCATGCTATAAAAATAGTCTTAGTAAACGGTTGCTTTTTATTTGTATTACATATACTCATCCATTGTTGTTGAAACTTTACAGGTTTAGAGACGACAGCTGATACCAAGGACGTGTATTGGTTTTAATTCCTGCTAGAGCGCCTATAATGACAGATTCTTTCCCATAAATACAACAACAAAGAGAATTACAGCGAGGGCTCTAGGGACTGACTACATGCAAGTTGTATATAATTGAAAGTAGCAGAATGACGATTGTACCTAGTCTGTATATACTGTTATCATTTATACCTACAATTATTGGCTCAACAACTGAAAGTGAAAGAATATACATAATAAAAAGCCCTGGATAGCCGAATTAACAAGTTCATATTAGTCTTTATGGTGACACACGAGCCTAAATTGATATTGGCAGTGTCAGATTGAAAAGCGTATTAGACAGTTTTTTTTTACAGCCAGAACGTATGTAAATTATTATTAAAGGTGAAAAATTATTGGGTAAGCAAATAGTTACATGCCGATGTTCCCGCCTAATTTTGTTAATTTTAGGACGTCAATGAAAAGACGGTTTATTTACACCTAATATACAATGAGGTCATTGTTATCCGTTAGCCTAAGGTTTCGGTTGTTCGGCTTTTGGCGATATAGAGCTGTCCTATGAAGAAGCTGATGGAAGCGGATTTTTTTATTATAATGTCTTGTCGAAAAGAGTGATGAGAACTGCTGATTAAAAATGCAACATGCATACACCTTCGGCGATTCTTACACATACACATATACATAATCCGATTTATGTCTACCTAGTTTGCCCTATAAAAGGTTGGTTATCAGTGCGCGCCCAAACAAGCTATAACTGCCGATATCCATACAAGGGCAGTAAAAGAGCCTACAAATGGAAACTCGCGCCACGCGTGAAAAAAACTAGCAAACGTTTAAACAGATTAAAGTTAACGGAACTGTTTAAATAGATTTGTACGTGCAGGTTGATATTGAACTCTCTCGTAGCTTTAGGCACGAGTTTCATAATGACCACCTCAAGCAGCGCATACTGAATTACAGTCAGCAATCTATTCAAAAATGACTCAGATCGGTCTTTTTCACCACAGTAATGACCAGACTTTTAAGCTTGATTGCTTACAAGAACATGGCCAAACGAAAAAGGAAATGGTTAACTTAGCATGACCTCCTTACGGCGAGACTAGGCAATGCTAGTCTCGCCGTAAGGGGGTCATGCTGCAAACTTGGTATAGTGGGACAGTGTGATCTCATACAAGCGTCCGACGAACACAATAAGCGTTGCGGCAAAGTACCCTAAAAAGTAAGCTGTAATAATTAAGAACCATCCTCACTCAAACCGACACGGAGTTGATAAATGAGTGGTACTTCATTTTCCTTCGAGCTCGGTCTTCTCTGCACAGAGCTCGTACGCTTTCGAACATTCTAAATCTTCTCCAATCTTTACTCATTCGAATGATTATATATATACAATAAGCTAATATAGCGGAGCGTGGTCGCGGGTTTCTGGAGGAACGACATTAGGAACTTAGCATAGCCGTTAAGCGAAGGTGACCAATAGAAAATAAAAAAAAAGACGGATCAATCAATAAATGCTCCTATGGCAATAGTTATGCTTATTCAGGTAAATTACTTATATTAGTTAGAAATCGGCATCCGCTTATTTGCTAACCCAACATTTGAATAAAAAAAGTGCAAAAGAAGCAATAATATAAAAAGTGACGGTTTCGCTAATAACGGCATAAGTCGTGGCCCAGGTTTGAATGTGCGCGCGTCTACTAGCTTTGGTCTCTTCAGTAAGTTCAACTAATTGCAATAGCAACATATGTTGATTTCTACTAAAAGATCATTCAGGATACGCAATTCTTATTATTTCTTAACCTCTGAGACACTTGAAAACGTGAACGCTGTTTGAAGACGAACTGGCTCATTATAGCACGCTATCTAGAAATTCAAGCAACAACATTAATAATGACATACTGTAGGAGTTAAGCTAAGGCCAAGGCATTCAGAGTGTAAATAAACATCATATTTACTGTTATTAATGCTTAAAAATCGAGGTCTGTGTCATTATTGTGCCCTAGAGTTATAGGTAGGTAAGCAGGCAAGCCATTTTCGCACAGAATATCTATATTCAGTTAACATGCGGGAACTACGGCTCAATGTAAACTTTAATGTTCATTTCCTTTGGAAAGGTGATTAGAACCAACATAGGCATTCTAATACCATAGAATACAGAGTAATGAAAGATAAGTCAGGCGCATTTTTAAAGCGGCGTCAAAGGCAAACTGGGTGTATGATTCTTTCAATATTGTCTTTATAGTCAGCCTGTACAGCTTTCTTTGAAGTATTTTTCTAACTTTTGGCGCTGTTTATGGGGTTGGCCACAATTTACTCTTGTGTCGATGCAAACTTCACTAAGAACGGCTGATTCGTATTGTTTCAGCGGCATAGTTAATACGCTTTTTGTTACATTATATATGATCGGTCCATTTATTATGCACGCATTGCGTTTCGCGTCTGACACTCGGCAAATAAATTCGTACGAAAAAAGGCTGGACCCCTTCGGAGTCCCTACGCGCCTGACAGAAGATGCTGACGTCCAACATCCAATTCGAAAGCTTTACTTCTCTTTTTAATTTCAAGCGGACATAAATCACATCATGATATCAAGTAAAATTGTGATCTCAAGGTGACCGATCTCCCCTGGATTTGAAATTGCGCCGATGCTTTTTGTTTACCCATGAATTCTCAAAGCTATGGAGAGGTATTTCCAACTTAGAGTCACTTGCTCCGTGGCTAAAAAAAAAAAGATTAGTAGTGGTGGCTAAAGACGAGATAACCATGCCAAGAAGATGTTCACGTGTAGAACTGAAAAACCTTTCTCCCATTTTGTGCGTTGCGATCAGCTATTATTGTCTTGTTCTGATTGAAGCCACCTATTATTAAAAATTCAGCTCACTCGCTAGAGTCTCTCTAGATCAAAGAGTCTTCTATCATATTTTCACGACTAGCATCACTCGCCTATTAGTATAGAAAAAAAAAAAAAAAAACGCTGTCTAATTTGGTATTTCATGTAGTTACCTTCACTCTATGTGACTGTTTGTGAACGTATGCATGCAAACATGCTTGCTAATTTGTTATCAAGCACGAAAACTAGGCAGCACTAAGAATGCTCACCGAGCATTTCTGAAAGGTAAAAATTAAGTAAATTATTCCATACTATAATTTTTGAATTTTATCTGGTTTTCGTAAATAAACCTAATGAGCTCAATCACTCGATTCGCATTCATAGTAAGACAACATTTTTTGCTAATGCTTGTAAAAAACATCTCGTCCTGGTAGGCGATATGGCTGTACTCCAAATTTCAACTTTTATATATGGCATGGACATGTCTATAGAATTTAGCTAGCTATAAGTAAGCTATCTGCGTAATGAGATTGCAGTTATTAATGAAACTCTTCTTGGTCAACTAAATGTAAGACAAGGAATACGCACATAGGACATATTATACATGAACCCTGATTAAGGAATCCTTTTGTTTATTTACTATTCCATATAGAAGCCGAAGCTGTTTGCTCTTTGAGTAATGAGTATCCCAGGATGTTGGCAATTTCTTGATCCCGCAATCTCCGAATGAACTTAACATAGCAAACTTCTTAATTGTTGTGTCTGTTTGGGACGCACTTTGTACATAAATTGGTCGCAATTCACCGTAGCCAAGACGGTCTTATATCTCCTATAATGTACACATACGTATACGTAACCATACAGGTTTACCTCTGCCTCTTGTTCTGTGTGTAAGTTCATTAAGTGCTAAGTATCGGCCCTTATTACCATAGAAAACAGTGCTACGAAGAGCACTAAACGATTATGGGCTGACGACATTTTTATGCTGCCTCGCGCTGGCCAACTGCTAAACGAAAATAAATTTTATATTTGTCCGTATCTGCCTCGATCTCTTACGTATAATGTTCCTTATATCCGACTCGTTAGAAACGTTTTTCACTAAATCCCGTTGTCTTTCGGTAAAGCCATTATCTTCAAAATTGTTCAGAAGGTACGTGCAGATTTCAGTTATACACATATTGTGATATGAAGGCCAATGCAGTGGTTGTCATCGCAAATTTTACTACGGCTCTTTACAAGGTCGCCGTTTTCAATACGTGTGCAAACTTCAATTTCATTTGATATGCGTTAATATCTACTCAATATTATAAATCATGGTCTCGCCTTACTTCTTCCAACCTGCCCTACTCTCTTTTTATATAATGCGTGTTATCTTCATTAATGTGTGTACTTTTCTATTTTAAACAATCGACTCCACAGCTTATTATCCACGTATGTTTTTTGTGCTGTTCCCCCACAACGTACACTTTGCCGTTTACTTCAACTCCTCTAAGCACTTACCTGTGTATTTTGAACTTATCTAGGAATATCACCTACCAAGTCGTCTACCAAGTGTTGTTTTCCAACATTCCTATAGTAATACGACGCGGGCTTACATCCTAGCTTCTATAAAGATGATTGCCCAGCACATATTTGAGAAGATCGAGTGCAAAGTGCTCCTTGACAAAAAGAAGAGCTAAAATAGCAGTGGACAATAAACAGGCAATAAAGCACTGAGTTGTTGATAAATGGTGCTCGACCGAATCGAGCGCGCGAGGGACGCACAGAGGCCTTACCTTAACTTATTCAGACGAGCATATCGCAACGTTACATACACTAAAAACAGTCTATTGAATACGTCGAGGGTGCGAAAATTATGCAGCGCTTACTGAACAGCAATAGTCGATGGTCTGAAAAACGTCGTCATTAACTGAAGTTAGTAAACAAAAAAGCTTTATAGATCGTGTACTCCAGTTATCAATTTATTAATTGTTGTCTGCTTAAACAATCAACGAAATAAAATATAGCGATTTTTTGCCTTGGCAACCTAGCCGTTAGCTGGAGACCCATAAATTTTTGAGTCTAGGCCTTACTTGCCGCCGAGCGCGTTCTATTGCTATTAATTTGGTTAGACTTAAACAATCAAATTTACGTTTGTTTCACGTTCCGTCAACGACACGTGAATACTATAAATCTTATGTAAATAAGCAAAACTGTTATTTTTGACTCTTTTGCTGCTGTCATGTTCGAAGCCTAAGATCGATCAGTATATCGTATATAGTGATTATAGGCCATATACGTAAATTGTGTCCAATCACTACCGTAACGCATACATATAATACGAATCCGTCAGGGCTTTACCAGTCTTACATTGAGTCTATTTTCGCTTGCAATGGGATTAGTGCGTTTCTATTTGTTAGTTTTAAAGGATAACGATTTCTGCCGCTCGATTAGGTCTTATCTTACGCGCTAGACACGTTCGTAACCGCCGAGTGGCTGGAGTGGTAGCACAATGAGTTCACTATTTTTTTGAATAGGGTTTTTTTTCACAACTTAAACCAATGAAACGCGCTTCCTATATTAAATACCTTTTTAGCTCCAGATTTTTCAACCCTCTACGCAACTTGGCCGTTTAGTGGAGAATGAAATTACGTTACTCTAATAATATAATTTATAATAATAATTATATTTGTATGTGCAGCATACTTGGAAATCTTTTATAACTTTCTTTGAGTACCTCTTTTCATTAAGTTTCAGCTCGCAAGCGTCAATACGACATTTGTAGATAACGATTTCATAATACATAACTTATTACATTAACATTCACTATATTAAATATTCTTTTGTGTCGACAGTTATAACTTAAATTCCAACGCAAACGATATGCCCTAAGGACAGTCACATTTAAACGTTTTACATTGAAATGAAAAATTTAAAAAAACTAGGTTCTCTCTAAGTTGTGTTAGCCCGTAAAGGCAAAAAAGAGCATGAAAACGCAATGTATTTCGTCTTCCTTTGCATATTACTGTTAAGCTTATATCACTTTTGGTGATATGAGCTCGGTGTGTCAGATTCGGATATAGAGTATGTATATACCTGCTCGATCGCCTCAAGTTCCTTAGAGTACGTAGATAACGAAGGCACATAAAGGTTTTTAATCGTTTGTAGATCTTACGTTATTGCTTGCCAACAAACATACACAAATTCATTTATCTCATCGTGTATCATTTTTTTTTTATTTAATTTACTCGAATTAATTTCATCCTATATTAATTACACGGTGCAACTATTTATGTGGCTTAATTTGATGAACTGTCGAGAGAGACATCCTGCTTAGACTGCCGTCTTCAAAGTCAAAAAGGAGTAATTCTACTACGTCGTTTGTCAACGACGTCTCCTTCGATGCACAATTATAAGCTAGCGACTTACCTTCTCTTTTAAACGGTCATGTCGTACCTGTTTCCATACAGCAGCACACATGCAAAGCACCACTCGACCCAGCGTACCATGATGGTCGTCCTCCTTCCTTCGGCGCAGGTACATACACAGACACCCACAAGCAGTGTCTTTCATTTTCGTTTGTTCGTCGTCTTTTCTCTTTTTTTTAGAACGATCCTTTACTGCATAAGCAAAAGGACTAGACGGTCGGTCATGGCCTGTCGTTCAATCCCCTCCGCGAGGACAGCAGGTTTTCCACTCAATTTAAAGTCCTCCTTCGCGCACGTTGTTGTCGTCGTCTTTGTTGCTGCTGCCGTAGCTGTCGCCATCGTCTTGTCCGACATCGTTTCTTCCCATTGCTCCCTCACCTCGACCTCTCTTGAGAGAGCTCTTCCCTGTCTTTCAGCGCCTGCTACTATCTTACCTACTAAGCGTTTAAAGGGGCACATTTCATTCGCTTGTGACGTATTCACAAACCCCACTATCCAGCAACACTGGATACCTCTAAAAAGCTACTCTGAGCAACTCCAGGTACTCACGCAAACGACTTGCTACTTACCGAGCTCCTTTGGACTTCAAACCAGTGAAGAATTTCATTTATGAAAAAAAATTCTTTTTCGTTT